TTGTCTTAGAATTGCTAAGTTTGATATATCAGCCTGGTTCAGACTTTTGCACCTTAAACGGTGGCTGATCCCTAACCTCATTTGAATGGTATAAAATTACCTCCCCATTGAGTTTTGACTCATAAATCATTTCTAAAAACCAGTAGCACACGATAGGGTCAAGTTTGGTCACATCAGAAATGAGGGGTGGTACAAATCAATGGATCCTCATTGTTATAATTGTCCCAATAAAACAGTCTCAGAGCTATTCTGTGCCCCCCTCTCCTTTTTTAATTTTCTGTTTATGCAGTTTTTTTTAATATATTATAAATGCACTTGCAAAGCTTATATGATGTTTTTATGTTCAGCATGTAGGCCTACTTCATTATCGCAAACCTTGTACTAATGCTAATTTACTGTTGACTGTGAGGAATGTACATGCATGTTGAAAAACTAAAGCAACAAATAGGGGAGACCGGGGCTAGTTGGTCCAACAAGACAATTTTGGCCTTCTAGGGCCAACTGAGAATAAGATACAGTACCAAAAACTGGTTTTAGCACGAGCACTAAGGACTTACAGATGCTTCGTCGTTGATTTACATTTGTAATGCCCTATGGTAACGATTTGACAAAAACACACGTCAAGTGGGACAACTTGCCTCGTGGCGTGATAGTGAACTACGTTTAGACACTTCTGAGAAAGTTTAAATTTAGTCTTAATTTTAGTTTGATGCCCTGCACGCATCCTTTATTCTATCACAAGGCTATGAATATATATATATATATATATATATATATATATATATATATATATATATGTCTTCAAGAAAGTTACTTTCAGGTACAGAAAACTTTCATTTGGACACACCGCTCAAGTGAAACTTTTTTTACGACCGACACTTTCTTTGCACTGTGGGATATGGCCACTTTCAAAATTACGTGATCAAAATTTTACCTCGTATGTACTTTTTCATAAATTGACGAGGCCGGGGTCCAACTAGCCCCAATCTCCACTAGGGTAGATTGCTGGTAATACAGACAAAAATTGCTCAAATGATTTAAAGCACTCGCTTCAATTCCAGGGATGCTCTTTCCGAGAAAACTTGGGAAATGTGTATTTTTATCGCGTGTTAACCCGTTTAATTCAGTGCATTACGATGATTGATTACTTAAATTCAAATAGTGTCCCATGATACGGTCGTACATACATAATACCTTGGTGTTTTAGTGGGAATTGATGAATGATCACAAAACACCACAAAAGTCAATTACTTTTATCCGATTATGCTGATTTTTGACCTTGATCTGCGTTTTACCGCAGCGACGGCAACAGCGACGACAGTAAGACAGCGCAGCTCNAAAAAAAAAAAAACCCCAAACACAAAACCCCCCAAAAGCAAAAAAAAAAAAAAAAAAAAAAAAAAAAAAAAAAAAAAAAAAAAAAAAAAAAAAAGTGCGATTTTTTTCAGATATTTGCATGTTTTGTTCGTGGACCGTACGAAACCTTCATTGAAGACCTGGGGCAACCTTCATCATTCTTCCACCAGTGATGCTCTTAACTCCATGTCGGTGGTGGGCTGTTGCTGGCGGTTATTGGTCCGTCTGCCCAGTTCACATCAGGCATGCTCCATGGGAGAGATGTCCGAACTAAACACTGGCTGGATCTGCTCCTGCTGCAGGAAGGCCTACGCCTGTGGTACCCTGGCAGTATGGGGACGGGTGTTGTCCTGCTGGAACAAGCGTAGGTTTGGGTGTTGATGCAGAAGAGCTGTCCTAAGGACTTCAACTGTCCTGCTGACCAGTCAGATTTCCGCCAATCACTGCAATCACCATGAGTTCTGTGACTGCCTTAACGTAGACTGTGCAGTGGGCAAGGCACGCCCCCTCTCCAGATCATACAACCGTGGCATGCTGTCAGCATGGAATTCTGTCTCCTAAACTAGGTTTTCTGATTCCAGTGTCCACTAGCATTGATTCCGGACAACTTATTTCTGCGAAACAGTCCAAATTTGTATTTAGATGAGATGTCTGAAAAATTAAAGCTAGCCATTTTCTTGAATCACTCAAGCGTTGCAGTAATCTACTGCAGGATTGCCATGGTGTTCCGTCACTGAATACAGTGACCAGGCTAACATTTGCATTTTGGTCGTTTTGAAGCACCGTGGTCAAAACAAAAACTGGCATTTCTCTTTTTGGCCAACATTTTAAAACATTTTAGTAAAGAGGAAAATGAAAGATCGAGTATCCAAATGTGCACACAAGTTGAGGTGCTAAGTAAATCGATTGACATGTATGTCATAATGGTAATATTAGATTTTACATGGTTTTCGTGACGACAAAAATCAAAACACGAATCGTTTTTATAGAGTGTAAACGATGGAATGTCAAATCGATCAGAATACTAGATTCTAGATGTGCTGCATATTATAACCACGCCATAACTGCTATTGGTACAATAAGAACACTGCCATTTTAAGTCCTTTCTTCGAAATCCCGAACAAACTTTAAACCCTCTCCATATTTTTTTCGGAGTGTAAAATACAAGTGATGTGGCACTGCTTGTAAATTTGTGATATTGTATTTACTCGTGGTATTTCGTAACCACTTGGCAGCTGTTTTTGTAGAAGATGTGATGTCATTAATACTGGTGAATAGGGCGTTTAAATGCAGGAAAAAATGATTACAAAGTGTCAAACAGTATATCAGTAACCCGTTCTACTCTTTTAAATCCACTTGATAATGTCGAACGTTAATGAAGGTTCTCTCTAATCAGGTAGAACAAAACATGGCGCAACATGTTACATTTGCCGGGGAGTATTTCGGTTTTACGCTCGTGGGTCGATTTCTCGTTCTGTCGCTTAATCTCCGTTTCACTTTTATAGCTAAATATATCGAACGCTGATCGTTATCTCACGACAGCTTAATAAAACCGCTCCCAAGTCGATGCGGAAAATAAATGGATTTGGATTTACTGAGATTGTGAGGGCACTTTGTGTTATTGAAAAACAAAAATGAGTGGGACTATTGACATTTGTATGTTTTTGCAGAGAAAAAAATATTATAAAGAGTCAAAGAAGTAGAATGATCATTATATTTTCTTTGACATTTTCTGTTGGCTGTTCTGTCCACTTTCTTTTAATGAAACCATCACTGAGAGCGCCGCCGGGAAACAAGCATTCTCAATGTTCGCTTGGAAGACTCCAAGGTTAATAGGAGACTTTCCCTATTTATTTGTTTTAGTGTGTTGGTGTTTCAATGAGGCAGATGCATTGGAGAACCCTGCTGCTTTATATGTATACACGTAGCTCGAGGCGGAGCACGAGCTGACTCAATAAGCAACGCCTGTGATGTCCGTTTTATAGTCCATGCAGAAATTCACAAAAGCTGAAAACAAGGGTGCTTCAGAAAAATCAAAGTAGATGCATTTTCAATCCATTGTATTTGTTTATTATGCAAGATCGACGCGGTGATTATGATGAATCGTCTGTTAGGCTGCGAGAAATCAATATCCAAAAAACACTATACCAAGCGGTTTCCAACTTATTAAATTGTTATCGCTAACAATGTTTCTCAAAAAAATTAGGAAAATATGCATCCAAACTAAGATTAGTGTCGTTTGAATTTATTATTATTATAATTACTATTTTTAAATATAATTTTGTGTCACATTCTGATATATTGTATATTATTCTAATGAGCCCCAGGGCTAAAGGATTGAATAAATTGAATTTGAATACCAAAGAAACATACCCAGTCCGCGATTGGCGGCGATGACAGATTTCACCTTTACCGAGAATTCTGCCGCCAATAATTCTAGTTGAGCAACCGCCGTTTCTGCTTCACGAGCATATGTCAACATAAATAAAGTATCTGCAGGATATGTCGTTGTAGTTTTACGGTAGCCGTCAAAATATTAGAAGTGTTTCTGCAAGATAACTGAAACATTACCCTTGGCTGGTAAATTTGAATTGTTTTACCCCAAGCTACATTTTCAATTCAAATGCTCTTCTTGGTAAAGCAAGTCATATTCGAGAGACCACTCAACACAAGCAATCATCTTTAAATTTCGGCCCGAGAGGCATATTTCACGGAAAAGAGAACTAACAGGCTCACCACACGCAGTCAATAAGAGTAAAGTTGTCAGCTCCGTTATGCTCTTCAATCTCCTGGTGGGAAACCTCTAGATTGGGGTCGCAGTAGAAAGAAAACGAAAATTAACTCCAACTGAGGTACGATAGCTGACCTACGATAACTGCATTGTGCAAGCCTGAATTCATCCACTCTTTTCCCAGAGATAGCAGTTAAGGTACATTGTAAAACCATATAAACCGGTTTTGGAATTGAACCCACCAGCTTTTTATCTCTGGGAGTATCTCAAGGATAATGTGTACCAGAACAACCCTCAAACGATTGGTGAACTTATGGCAGCTATCACAACAAAAATGTGTCCTATTAATTGGCAATCCTGTAAATCGCAATTTTCTCAGTGTTTGAAATGGTTCATACCTTTGTGATGAAAAAAATGTTAAAATGGCCAGGAAATCATCATTTTACCATGTAGAGGTCTAATATGAACTGTTTGCCTGTAAGTTTTTTCTCTCTCGTCCCCTGCTGTAAAACCAAAAGATTGGGGTTCGTAGAAGAAAGAAAAGCATGAACTATAATCATGGTCGATTATTTCACCTGTAATAACTTTGCACACCAAAGGCACAAAACTGTTTTTCAGACAAGAGGCAGGAGCCCAGAAGCAATTTATAATCAGTTACTAGTTAGACCCTTGGAAATCAGAGTAGGAGGAAGAAGCTCTTGCCACAATACAATACAATACAATACAATGGCAGATTGCATGTAGAAGTTAAATGCTATTTGCAGGAATCTTTTGATCCATGACATGAAAATATAGAAATTGGCATTAAACTAGTTACCAGGAAGAAAAGAATTACTGGTTCAACAATCATTCGCAGTCCCCAGCTAAGTATGATTAGCATTGAATATACCCTGGACAACCAAAATACAATCTGTTCTTCTGAAATAATTTTTAATTCTGAAATTCTTTCTGCAATGCATTGCAAAATATTGCCATCAGTAGCTCCTTTGGTCTAGTTGAATAATCTTACCAGCAAGGAATGTAATATTAAAACGATTCCAAATATGTCTTATACTGGGATGTCATATACAAGAATATAATGAAAACAGGCTTTTCTAGTTCATTTCCATGATTAGATTTCACAATCCATGTAAGTGCCATCATTCCTGTTCATGCTACCTAATTTTTTTTCCATTCCGCCTTAATCAACATTACTCCTTTTGCTGTCTATCATATTAGCCACACACTATGGTCTTTCTCAAACTAATAACTTTAAAGTAGTTGATACATATAGAAGTATGGACTACAACATTGTGATGAAGGTTCAGTTTCTCTTTTTCTTGCCTGGTGTAGCTGCTGTCCCCACAGGCACTGGTGGTGCATAAAGCCCTTGGGAAATGCGGTTTATGTAGTAAAGGGCTACCAAGGAAAAGATGAAACTGAAACAAAAACATACATGTTTCATGACAATTAAATTGACCACTTGGTAATACAATGAATCAATAGCATTTTAAAAAATCCAAAACCCTACTTTGTACACAACAATGACAAACAAGTGTCTGTTATATATGACTTCTCTTTTAGTGAATTTGGCCAAAGACTATCAGGCTAATATAAGTGTAGATCATTTAATAATCTAAAGAAAGGGGAAAGATTTAAAAAAAAAAAAAACCTTCAAAAAGCTACATTTAGCTATATCTATATCACAATTATTTATAATCAGGGATATCTCGTTAATATTTTTGACTTGTGCAATCTAACACCCAGCATATTTTTAATGACATACTGAGCCAAGTCAACTCAAAAGGCACGTAACTGGTTGGACATAAGTATGACCTTCAACACATGTTATCACAAAATTGCCTTTTTTATAAAGAAATTAATTCCAGCTTAATTTATATCATGCTGAAGAACAATGGCCATTTGTTATATTGTTGTCATTGTTTTGACGGTCTGGCCCCTTTGTGCTTTTCTATATCAAATATGTTAAACCTAAGAAATCAGCAACCCAATTATCTACTGACTTTACAAGCAGTGATAACAGTGAAATCAGTCAACAATATTTTTTTCTGGTCTTTGAAAAAAAAAAAAATGTAAACCTCAAACCTAACTGACAGCTGAAGAATTTTCAATGCCTTGTCCTATTAATAGAATATAAAATGCAATTCATTTTAAGTACATAGCAAGACTAAGCACATGTTTCCTTGTGTTTTATTTCTGGTCCAAGAGCCTGGGATTGATGGACTACCTTGATGTATACATAATGCTTTCTTCAAAGAATCAATGTAACACAGCTAATCTTCCAAAACTACCACAACCATGTACTAGAACATCTGCTAAGGTCATCAGACACATAAATCAAACTGGTGGCAATATGTAGGTGCAAGTGTAAAGCAAAGGCTGTATTCACAACCAGTTAATATGCAGACTAACAGATCTGTGCATCAAATATGGTCGACCTACTTGAAAGCAAGCTGCTTAATCCCCTAATGCAGAAAGCCTTTCGGTAGGTCAGCCAAATTTGACTCACAGATCGGATAGTCCACACATCAACTTTGGTTGTGAATACAGCTAAAGACTGTCAGGCTTACTTTAGTATGTAAGTGTAACCATTTAATAATCTAAAGAAAGGTGTAAGAAAAAAAAATACCTTCAAAAATCTAAATCTAATCATATCTTAATCAATTATTTATAATCAAGGGGATCTAGTTAATACTTTTGACTTGTGCAATCTAACATCCAGTAAATCTCTTAGCAGGTTTTTAACAAATTGCTGCTTTCATCAACATCTTAAAGAAAAAAAGCTGAAGTCCAGTTGCTCACAATATCTTCAAAGAGACTCTTAATCTGCATTTGTTCAAATGACTTGTTCAAATGATAGTGGAAAGGTGGATGTTCATCCAATTGTGTCAGTGATTATGTGTATTAGGGAGGAGTTGGGTGTCAAATGGTTTCAAGATACCAATAATGTATGTTGGAAAAATGTCCAATTCATTCTCCTTATCATTTTAAAATGGAGTACTCATTTTCCTCCTATACAACCAACTTCCCAGTCTACTTGATTTATTGCACAGGAACTCCATACGAGTGGCTACACGTTGATATTACAGAGGAAAGAATGACTTCTGAGGACAATCAGTTTTACTCATTAGCCACACACTAGGTGCTGATTAACTTTTTTATTTCAAAGCAGCTGGTTAAGTATTGAGAGCAATAAGCTGCCAGCATGGAATATTTGGTGTCAGCACCGTGAATAACATATTAAAAAATTCATTTAAAAACAAACAAACAATCAAAAAAAAAAAAAACATATATTATGGTTATCATTAAAATGCAAGATTAAAAATATGAAGTATATTACAGTAACCGAAAACAGTGGTTTATACAATGGCAATATAATTAGTGCACCCAGAAAGACGCTTGAACTGCTTATCATCCTCATTCTTGCTATCTTATCATTGCAGCCAGTTTTCACAATGCTAAGTATATAATACCTTACACTGCACTTACCATGTTGTAATGCATACTCTGTGGACCAGACCAGAGGCAAACATGGCTACAGCTAAACAGAACAGCACTGAAAAAAACAAAACAAAAAAAATTACATATTGTCTCCTTGTTTATGCATTTGATGCTGTCGACTTTTCCTCTCAAAACCAGGGAAATTGAGACAGAAAAAGAAAACAATTTGGTTAAAAAAATGGAGGTGGGTGAAGCATGATTATTATCAGAGCAGATAACACAAAGACATTTTAAATGCATGTTTCCCGCTCTTAAAAGAGTTGAAAAAATACATGAAAACAAAGATCCCAGGTTTATTTTTGACACTTGTGGCCTTGTAGATTAAAAAGAAACTGTATCAGTTCATCCCATCAACTGTTATTGATCAGAGAGGCCATAAATGATAATGGCCATCCATTCAGTGAATCGTTTTGCTCAAAGTAACAATCTATGTGCTTTTAAAAAACATCTCTCAATAATCAAAATATACCATAAAGTCCAAAAATACTGTATTAAAAGGAAACTAATATGTGCCTGCATTGAACCATGAACTGAGTTAATATGCAGAAATGTGCAGAGGCGTAAATCCTTTTAACAAAGAGAAGAGCTCAGATGAAATCCCATAAACCTTTAACTATGATGTGCATAAAGGTACATTTGAAGCAGTAAGACTACCGATACCACAATATTCCCAACGAAAGAGATAATGCACTTAGAAAAATTGGCAGTATATTTCATGATCTTAAACTACCCCGAGTCCAATACCCATAAACACCATCAGTCTATATTAACATAGATCAAAACCAACTCTGCGAAAACTCTGGATCAGCCATTAGCTAAACAGATTAACACGCTGCCTCTTGGTGTTAAATAGAATACAGAAAAGCTGGTGATTACACGAATTTGTTGGTAACAAGAGGAGGCATGTCATCCAGTTAAGCTAATTGCACTCAGTGAGTCTCTGCAAAGTTGACTCCATCTACGTAGACCCATGGTGCCTATGGGAATAGGGTCTTACAATCAATTGTGTCTCTTGATGATGTTTTAACATGCTTAAAAGCACTTTTATAGAGAGCTGCACTACAACTGATTGAATAAGGCAGCTTATATTTTTAGGGTCATAAATAGGCCGCATACGATTTGTATGGTTCCCCTTCATCTCCCCCTTCCAGCCCACATGCATGCAAACTATGAGTAACTGAACAAATGCAAAAAATATATCTAATTTCACAAATCTTGAACTTTCAAATTAAACTGTAACAACTTTTATAATATTCTGATACATATTTTAATTTTCTAAATGCTTTAGTTGAGACAAAACACACCTACAACAATGATATCTCCATAGGTCTATGCTTATCAGACTTCGTTTGTAGTCGAATACAAAGACAAATGAAGTAGTCAAAAGACCAAAAACTGAATGACCAGTGTAGTAAAATCAATTTCTGTTCAAATTCAAATTCAAAAAGTGGGCAAGTATACACATTTTTAAATGAAGAAGCATGCCTGCATTGGCTCTGTAGCCGAGGCTAAAACAAACCATACCTTCTGGAAATAGCTTGGTCTGAAATCCACTTCCAAAGAGAGTTGATTCTAGGTTACTCACTGCCTGATTTAAGTAGTTAAAGAATCAAGCATACATAACTGCTGCTTGTTATTATAATAAGATGGATACCATAAGCACCTAAGAGGATAATTGTGCAAAATACAGAGTGACCCCAAGTTATGAACATTCGAACTTTCAGATATAAAAATAAGGTATCATTTATCTGATTCATTTCTTCACTAAAAGTCAGACTTCAAATACCCGATTACAACTTAATGACAGATTTTGTTAAGATAATAAATTTTGTTTTATATTAACACTGTATTTCAACTTTTAAAAATGTACAGTATCATATTATTTATAAAATGCACTGTGCATGTTGCATACTTATGAATATATCGACTTAAAACAGCCTCTCAGGAGCTTATCTGTTAGGAGTTCTGTATATATTTGGGTAAGAACTTGTTTATGTCGGAGGCAAGATTGAAATCCAACCCAGGGCATGGCATTAATTGCCTGGTGTAAGTGATTTCTGCAGTTGGGCAATTAGAATTTTTGTCCTACTTGCCTGCAAACGCAATTGACTTGCTAATAAATCATTTGATTGTCTAGAGCATCAGTGAAATTGTCTGGTGCCTCAAGAAAACCTGATCAATTTGCCGACAGCATGGCTGTTTAATCATGGGCCTGAAAATAGCTTATTTCAAGCCCTGATGATTATTGTAATTTTCTTGGTGGAAAGGCCACCAAAATGTACCTTTTCGTTACAGAATTTTCTGAGAACCCTCTACCCCGTCCCTCTCCTTGCAGGAATGTCTGTGACTAGAAAAATATAAAACTATTAATTATTTTTTTATACCCCCCTCCCCAAGATTTTGGAGCAGGACAAGTAGACTTTGAAGTGGGACAAGTAAATTTTCAAAATAGTTTATTTCAAGCCCTGCATCCCACTTATTTATATGATTATGTGAGATAAAAATTCAAATTTCAGAGAAGTCATGATTTAGTCAATAACCACATTTGCCATAGCTGACATTAAACTTGTAGGGCTTGATAATATTATTGAGCATCACTGGGAAACTGGTAACTTGCCAAAGTTTTGAAAAACAAGCAACTACATTACATGGATTGATGGTACCCTCTACCAGAGTCTCAGTTATTATTGTGGACATTTTTTGCTGAATCGACCCTGTTATGTGCTAGCTAGGCCACGACCTAAATATGGCAGACCTACATGAAAGGAAGACCGTTTTATCCTGTAATGGTCTCTCCACCTCTCACACGCCTCCCTACGCATCGTCCCTGCAGGGGCGCAGTAATTAAATCTCGGCTCAATTCAACCGGTCGGGGGACGGTGTGTGGGGAGGGGTATGAGAGATGGAGAATCTATTACAGGATTAAGCAGTCTTCTTTTCATGTAGGTCCGCCATATTTAAGTTGTGGCCTAGCTAGCACTTGGCTCTTCTCATTCTGAATGGTCCCTAAGATGAACATCAAGAGTGAAAATATGCAATTTCAAACTTGGCTAAGCAGATTAAAAATCTGCCTGGATTTCAATCTTGCCTTGTGACATATTATATATATATATATATATATATATATATATATATATATATATATATATATATATATATATATATATAAATAAAATAGTAATTTTCTCCCGAAAGTGTAAGGATACTGTTAACAAGAAGATGAAGAGGCATGATCCTATGAATCCTCCCAGAATGGTCATCCACTCTTTTGAAGCAAGCTGTGACTTGTAAAGTTGCATTCCCCCAAATATAAGGATTGTTACTGCTGTAGACATCAAGAACGAGAGACCACTGGAGACAGCTGGAAAATGTGAAAAAAGTATTGAGCACTAATGTCCGATTCCCTGAAAACATGACATGAAAACGTTATTATTGTCATAGAGGTACATGGTCAAACAGAACAAGTAAACAGAATTATATAGAATATGAAATTTAAGCAGATGATTGATCATTTTTGAAAACCAGAACCTACAACAGAAGTGCTTACTCCTATCAGCCTTGATACAAGTCACACAAAAGACAAAAGATGATTTATGTAGCAGAACATAGTTGCCATAGCAGCTTTCCATAAATGTAAGAATATTTCAAAATAATAACGCTTATAAATTCATTGTTCACAAGATATTGTATCCAAATCTGTATTTTGCATTACATTTATTTATGTTTTTTTTGTAGGGGGGATGACCCCCACAAAAATTTATCATTCAATGCCAATATAAACCTCCACATATGACCTCCAATTTAGATGCTCTTTCATAAAAAATGAAGTTAAAACACATTACTTTTTTGTAGTCATATTTAATAGTTCATGAGAATTATATAGTAGTATACATATAAAGAAGGCAAATCACTTTAAACATCTCAAGAAAACTTAAAAATGTAACCAATTAACTAATAAATATCTATTCATGATGAAGAAAAGAAAAAAAGTTTTATTATGCTAAATACTAAAAGAGTAATTTAAAAGTTAGTTCATGACAGGGGAGGTTGGAAGGCCTGGCACATCGGAAGGCAGCTGTGGGAGGGAGTAGGTAGGGATCAACCTGAGGGCAGTCGAGTGGCTAGTTCAGAGTATGAAATCACACACTGTCTATTAAGAATTTTGCAACAGTTCTAAAAATTCTGTCATTTTGACTAGAAGTTAGTGATTTGTGACCATGAAGAAAAAGGTAAGTCATATCTTGCTGCATTCTGAAGTGAATGTAGTCACCTCCGAATATATTTTCAATTACTTTATAGAAGTTACTGTACATATTTCAACTGTTTAAAGAAGAAATATCGTGGAGTTTCAGCCTTTCCATATAGAGAGTTTGGGGTGTTTAATGATAACCAATTGTGCTTATAAAGTTGAGATTTGAATAATCAGTCTACTCATGCCAGTGTCAGTTGTATGGTCCATTCTGCGCTAACCATCCGTCCTGACCGATTGTACACACAGCAGACGTGTATGAACCGTTCCGTGAATGATCTGTTGTTATTCACCTGTGCATTGATGTGGCTTGTTTGTTTCCCACCTCATTATATATTTACTATAGTGGGGATATTTCTAGGTAAAACTCATGTGTTAATACAGAATTTTTAATTGATAATTTTGATAGAGAATCAGCATCAAATTACAGTTCGACGCTTGGATGAACCTTTAGAACCGTTAGAACGTGGATGGGCCGTCATTATTCAGCTGTTGGCCTACTACATGTATTATTGTATTCATTTTACTTTCCTAGTATGTTGATATGGCTACCTGAGAGTAATCACAGTAGAGGTAAACAACTATAAGATATGAATATTTCTAAAGATTATGTATGAATATGCAGTATGTTCTCAACAGTGTATTTTTATTAAAGTCGATAAACTTAGAGACAGACCGTACATGCCAGAAGTCTCTCAGATTTGCCTGTGCTTTGCATGCATCAGCATAACAGATGGTTCACGCTCCCAACGATTCATGCCACACTGGATTAAGATTAATTTCTTGTATCTTAGTGAGCTGTAAAACGATTGTAGATTAATTGGGATCCAGCAAAAAGTTCAGTTTAGAGAGAATACTTGAGTGATGCAACACTTGGGCTGTTCTTCTGTTCTAAACTTCGAATAAATTGACACTTTACTTTAAACATGATATACTTAACTTATACAATGCCAATGGTTATAAAATAATAGGAAAAATATATAACACTAATTAAAAAAATCGCAATGTAGCGTACACTACCAAATATTCAAATAAAAGCTTAGGCATACCTAAAATGTTAAAGAAAGGTTTTACAGAATCTAAGCCTCAATTCGAAGACCACAACTTTTTTTGAAGGGAGTTAAAGTTTCTTCTTAAAGTACTTCGAAATTCTTGTTTCTTTCTCATATCATAATTCAAAGTTCTCACTAATATCTTAAGACCCTTTACTTTTTACAATAAATTCGAAATAAACCCATGTCTTCTTCGTGGATGGTAACACATGAGATAACAGCCTTTTTTTGTGTAGCATGTGAGCTCAGCATAACTTTCAAATATTGCTAAAAGTGCTAAAATTAAATATTAAATGGACTAAACTTACCCATGTTGACACCGGTCGACTTTCCACGCTTACGGAAGTGCCAGCTTTTAGCCAATCAAAACACGCCAAGGTGTCCAAACGGTACAAATGCAAGCAAAAAGTCCATCTTGTATGTCATTATTTAATTTACAAGTTTTGAAGTTATAAGAATAATATTTAATTTTAGGCAATGATTTTGTAACTCATAAAAATAAATGAAAAGATAGCAGTGTTTTTTATGGGTTTGCTTATTAGTGAAAATTTGAATGTTCAACAGAACATCACGTGTAAGATTATTTTATGAACTTTGAACTTTGAGATGCTCTTGTTGATATCACCTGCCGGTGCTATAACATCAATAGTACACAATTTTAAACGGTTGGTATTACTTAATTGAAAACAATATTATTCTCAGCATTGTGAAAAAAAGGTGAATTTTTCAAAAGACAATGTAATTGATCAACATATGCAACTACCTTAAATCGGTTTCAACTTAAAAATGACAATCCGTATCGTGATGTGTCACACACAGGCCGAGTCTCAGCGTTGAAACTGATTTTGTAATTCACTGTAGCCTGTGGACTGGGAAGGGTTTGTGTAATAGTGAAATACATTTTCATTATTGAATTACTGATCTGTTTACCTTATTTAAAATATTTTTCTAAACATCTTTTCAGCATTATTCCAGCAGTAATGGCCAGCGACATTAGAAAGCAAATGATGGAGAGGATCTATGAGTGTGCTGCTGGTGGAAAAACTCAAGAACTAGACAAGCTCATTGCAACAAGTGTGTGGCACAAAAAAGAAAATAATAATAATAATAAAAAAATAAATAAATAAAAAACGGATTTAAAATTAGCTAGGGTACACCTAGATTATGAATTTATGTTATGTATTGGGTGGCTCAAATAAATATTATTAGATAAATAAATAAATAAGCAAATAGATAAATAAAATAAAAGAATGAAAATAACTAAATAGATAAAAAACATTTCTAATTTCAAAGTTAAATAACTTCAACAGTTCACAAGCTTTTAAATGGAATTTTTGCCCAAATTTTGATCCGTTTTTGTTGGTCAACCCCAAAAATTTCAAGCATTAAAGTGGAACAGTAAGGATACTATCATTGTATCAAAAATGCATAAACAGGTGTCTAAACTGGCAGACACTGGCACCTAGCTGTCAGAAAACTTAAAGGCCGGCATGGTATTTTTAAAAACTAAGATTTAAAAATTTCCAGTGTTTCAAAAGAAAGGTAGAGTTGTGAAATTTTCAGCTTATATTTACAGCATCAGTTTTTTAAATGTCCAAATTCCACTGCAATATCTTCAAAACTGTTTACATTATTGAATTTGTAACATTTTTTAACAAATGGATATAATACTGTACTAAGCACAAAAAATCTTTTTCAGTTCTTATAAAAATTATCCAGTTCATGTATAGATAGCTTTATTTACAGAGGATCTTGACCTGGATGCAAAGAATGAGAGAGGTTGGACAGCTTTAATGTTTGCAGCTCGGAATGGACAATCTGCAATATTGAAGAAACTGCTTGAGAGAGGGTAATCATACTGCATTTTCAAAAACAAAAATAAATGAATAAATAAAGAAATGCTTTAAATTTACCCCTGGAAGTAGACAGCTCCACTGTGAACATTAGCATCAAAATGTTTGAATTGCCCTTTGCAATTTTTCAATGCAGACGATGCAGTGGTTCTACACACTCCTGTTGACTGCTTGAACTTTGCAAGTGGGTGCAATCAGACCGTTTCTTCATGATGTTATTATTTTTTAAATGTAAATTGAATATGTTTTAAATTGAGCCTTAGTCATTTTTCAAAGATCATGCGTCATGTGTTTTTACTTCGTATTTTACTTTAATCAAACCTCTTTTGGAAAATATGTGAAACATAAGATTCTAATTATTTTAAGTTTACAGACGTTTTCTGTCTTAAGGTGAAGTGTGAGAATAGCATTATTGAATCATTTTTATTGAATTAAGAAAACTATTAATTTGCTGCTTTCTTCTGTACCAACTTTCTGTGATGTCTGCATAGGTAAGAGGCTTTGCTGTCAAGTTAACAACCATATCTGTTTTATTTTATTGGCCTATCTTCTCCATCTTCATCATCATTAAGACTGAAACTCATTCTTTTCTGCAGGAGTGACCCTTCTATAATGAATTCAACTGGACAGACAGCATTGGATATTGCATCTTTTTGGAACCACCAAGATGCTGCTAAAGTGCTCAAAGAGAAACCAGAAACTGCTAAGAGCAGTGAGCAGGTCATAAATTATTTTGGCCACCACATCCTTGACAGGGCAGCAGATAAAAGAAAGAATCCACAATGGATTAGCCAGGCAATGAAAAAGTCAGATTCGAAATATATTATAATATCAGAACTAAGACCCTTGACTCTGACATCTGGTCATCTAAGCAGTGGGTTCATGAAAGGGAAAGGGAAAAAACTTTGTATTTTATCTTATGAAGACATATCAAACTTTCTTGATAGCAAACCCACCCCACCATTGCTTTTCCTTGGTATTGAGCCTATTTTGGAACCAGCCCAAGGCAAGCCATTAGATAGACTAGGAGCAGAGGGCATTCCATGGTTTGCAGTGGATCTTACAGGGAAATTTGAAGACTATGATCAAGCAGCAAAAGCATTCCATCCTGAAGCCGAATTTCTATCAGCAGATTTTCGTTCAGCCATGGTGCTTCCTGAAACAGATGCTGCCATTTATGCCCAAGCCAGGTCCTTGCTTGACTGGCATGCTCGCTACAAATTCTGTTCCACATGTGGTAGTCCCACTAGAATGGAGGAAAGTGGTTATAAGAGGATTTGTGAGAACCAAGATTGCAGTTCACTCAAAGGTAAAATCTTTGTGAATTTACATGCCAGTAAAAAGTTTAGTACATCAGTTAATTTGGAGATCAGTTATCTGTGTTGATTGATATGGGCTATATGACTAGATGACTAGATGTCTTTGCGACATATTTAAAGTACAATGTAAATGAAAAATTACAGTTTACTTTATTTTTGTCAATCTTTTCATGTCAACCAGGTATTGAATGATAATATTTATTATATATTTCATGCCTCAGGTGTCCATAACACTAGTTATCCACGTGTTGATCCAGTGGTAATAATGCTGGTCATATCACAAGATGGCCGCAGATGTCTATTGGGAAGACAAAAGAGATTTCCAAGTGGAATGTTTTCTTGCCTAGCTGGATTTATGGAACCAGGTTTGGTCCAACTGAATGGTTTCATTGGATTTTGGTCATGATTTAGATTTTATAGCCCTGTGGATTTGATTTAAACCTTTTGGGTTGATATAGCTGACAGTGTAATTATAAACCCTAATATAGTTCCAACCATGCCGGGGCCTCATTTGCCTTTAACTCCACCACCTTTAACACACACTTTTGAGTTAACAATGACCTCAAAGACAATTGCATATTTTACATGTAGTTGCAACCAAGCTCTCCTACTGGGTAGGATAACGTTAAAAACTTAAATACGTATACTGGTAAAATGCTTTTGTCAGAAAATTATAATTCATTTTTGAGAACTATTATATATTTGCCGTAGACACTTTTTTCAACATATTTTTTTTAATGAATGTTGTACAATATCACATCCCTAAAAAGTTCTTGAATTTAGGAAAAGACACATACGAGTAGGACTTATTCCAATTATGAGAGGACTTGATTCAATTTACTGGAGTTATTATAGGGCAAAGGGTTAATCATATCCTCAAATACATATTGCAGGGGAGACAATGGAGGATGCAGTGCGCAGGGAAACATTTGAAGAAAGTGGAGTGAGGGTAGGAGAAGTACACTACCACTCCTGTCAGCCATGGCCATTCCCCAGCACTTTGATGATTGGATGCCATGCCAAAGCTACAAGTGAAAATATTAAGGTGATTAAGGATAAAAAGATTATCTTTAATTCATGGTGTACAGAATGAAAAAGGCATTTTTAAAAATTTTGTGAACAAAGTAATAATAACAATAATAAAATGATGGACAATATCATATTTCATCATATAGAAATATGCAAAATATCAAAACCAATAAAATGAACAATTGTATAAATATTTTAGACAATTGTTTCGTAATTTTTCATACAAAGTCACATTACCCATGCATCTAAATTATGCATAAATATTTTATGTCAGCAGCATTTAGATGCACGGGTAATGTGACTTACTATGAAAAATTATGAAACCATTGTCTAAAATACAAAACCAGCCCTTAGTACAATACATTGTTCTTAGAAATATTTCTCTTTATAGGTGGACAAGGAAGAAATTGATGATGCCAGGTGGTTCACGAGAGAGGAAATACTGCTGATGCTGACAGGTCAACACAAAGATGGCTTCTTTGTTCCACCGCCACAAGCTTTAGCACATCAAGTTATTAAGGCATGGGCAAAGATGCCATCCAATTTGTAAAATTTGGTTTTATATGGACATATAAGCATTACAATATGTTCAAATTTTGAACTGACACTTTTTGCAGAGATTTATACTGACATGTCCAAAATTTGACCTCGTAAAGTTGGATGTAATTTGATAAGACAAATGTGCTGCTTTTCATAATGCTGTACATTGTGCAGCACATACAATTGTTTATAATATGATCAAAAGATGATTCCAAATTTCACAATGGTTTATTTGTTTCTTGGATCAATCTCCTTCTGAAACCTTTTAGGGTCTTGTTTCATGTTTTAATTATGAAGTTATAAAATCAAATTAAGAATCATAGCTCCATACTGAAGTTCAGGGATTCTATTTGCTTCAGTATAATTGTAAGAGAAATAAGGATATACAGTAACACAACTTATTAGTCTATAATTTGATCATACTGAAATTTTTTACTTATACATGTTATCTTTTAAAACAGGCAACATTTTCATGATCAGATTGATTAATTAGAACCTTACACAAAAGTGTTGTTAATGTGATCTATGACTGTGATACCTCATTTAAAGATGTACTGCGAAATTATTCATGTAATATTTATTTACATATCTTCACAGACAAAGTTATAGCAAGTAACGTCCCCAGTTAAATGCATTTATTAATTTTCTTTATAAAAAGAAATCTTTCATATTCTATTTTATTTTGGTGATAATATAAGGTCAGATTCTTAAAACAGGTGTACAGTCAATTATTTGAAATGGTGTGTTTCACTGCCAAACATTTCAGTTAAAACTGTATTGAGCAAAGGTGCAGTGAATAGAAAATGGGTTCAGACTTAACAAGAGACCATTTGGTGAAACAAGAACTAAAACGATTTCAACCATGCCTTTTACTTTGGTATTACATTAAGAAATATGTACCATGTATTATGAAACTTGTACAAAGGATGCATTCACAATTTTAAGAGTGAGATTTTACCTAATATCAAACCACATTTTGTAAATTATATCAAATAAATTCATGAATCAGTCCAATCCCTTCATTTCCATTGGCAATCCTGCATGAAATTTGAAACATCATTAGTTACAACAAAAAAGTGGCTTTACCAATTAGGCATGTCTACTTACAAATGGTTTTCTCAATTCATATTAGTAATACAAGAAAAACAAAATTGCAATGACCTATAAACCAAATATTTTACAAAGCCTGTATGGTTTAAATAAATGATAAGACATTGTCTCCAGTATATGACAGCAAAATGCCAATAAATTAAGATAAAATTTAGAGTAAAATGATTAAATAAACTGAATTTGCAACAGCAAAAATTAAAACAGGTCAACAAATAAAACTTGTATCATTAAGCAGTGTCTCTTGGATACCTTAATTTCACTCTTAAAACAAATTCTGTCAAAATATTTTTGATTTTACAAGTCAAAATGAACTGCTCTTCTCTGTTTTTTTCTCCTCTTCCACTTCAAGATGTATACCCCATTGTCTTGCAGGCTTGCTGCAAATATTACTCCTTTTTGGTTGGCATCACTCATTCCATCTAACCATCCCATTTCACCCAGGGTAAATGTGGAACCTCTTTTGGACAACCTAAATGATACATGATATGTACAGTTTTATTGATAGTGTTTACATGAAATGTGCCGTTTATGTATAATCATCACAACTACCAATAAGTGCCACTCAAAGAAAAGTATTTGCAGATAAAATAAAGGTTTGTGCATATTATTGACTATTCCTAGTTTAAAAAATAACATTCATACTAGCGAGTAAAAAAGACAAAACTAATTCAAATGTCACTTACCTGACATTCGGAATATTTTTTGATGATATAACAACACCTCTTGCAGAGTCCATGGATTTCCCATTGGCTCTGATCTCTGGTGTCTCTATTACTTTTAATACAGGGGGCTCACCACATATAAAAGCAAAATATTTGGACCCTATTCCTAATATAACATGAACATCACTGCTGTCCCAGAACTTCTGATATGATGTGTTGGATACCTCTGTGGTGTGGTCTAATTGTTCTAATTTCATAATAGCACCTTTAGAAGTCACAGTGGGAAAATATAGGATATCATTTTTGATCTGAAAATGGGGGACATAGTGCCTAAATCTCCATGTTAGCCCTCCCTGGGTTTCATGATCACGGTCCAATGTTGCCAGTGTAACTGTCGGCCCATCTGACGAGGACGCAGAGATGATGTGATAAAGTGATGGCATCTCAGTGTTTTTCACGATAACAACCTTTGTCACCCAGTCACTGTAACTGGTGAATGTTTGCAACAAATTGGCAGTATCAAATGACCAGAGTTTGACTGTGTTATCTGCTGAGCCAGTTACTAGAATGTTTAAGTCTGTGTTAAAATCGATGGTGAATACAGCTGCTACATGGCCCTGATATTGCCGTAGCTTTTTGCCTGTGTCTACCTCCCAACAGGCAGCTGTGCTATCAAAAGAGCCAGTAACAAGATAATGGTCATCAAATTTCAGGTCTGCCACTGTGTGAGTATCAAAAACCTTTAGGCACTGTCCATCTTTACAATCCCATAACCTGACTGTGTGGTCATCAGAACCTAAATAAAGAAAAATAATTACAATTATTATAATATTAAATAATTATAATGACGACATTGTGGATGCTATACTTAATAACATACCAATATGTGAATAGCAGGTGAAAAATAGGTGTACAGTTTAACTTTTAACTGACAATTGTGTTTCTATACCATAAAAATGAACTCATACCTGTAGCCAACTTTCCTTCCCTGTAGAAAATAGCCATGATTCTGTCTGTGTGCCCATAAAGAACTCGGCTCTCAAAGGCACTGCCATTCTTCATCTTCTGCAAACGTGCAGATACAGTCAAAAAGAGTTCTTTGTAATACTGCCCACTTTGGTCCTCCTTTGTGCATTTCACACCTATGCTTTGACATGCTCTTCTCCAAACATCACCACAGCTATTGATAACTCTATTCCACTGCTTGTTCACCATGCAACATGTCAACAAACTTGCAGGATCAAGAAAGCTTATCAAATGAAAAGACACCTCTGTTGGCAACTGAAGAAAATCCCTTTTTACCAAATCATCAAGTTTCTGTGAAAGGTGGTACAACTGAGAAGGTGTACTTATAGTTATCAAATGATCTAAAACTTTGTTCCTCTCTTCATCCGATAAAAGAGAATAAGACTGTCCTGCTTTTTCCAACCAAGAATCAAAGTTGGCAATAGTCCCAGTCTTGGTCTTCATGGTGTTATCCATCCTCAGTCCATTTTCTAGACAAAAATAAATCAAAGTAGTGGGTGTACAGAAATATGTTCAAGATTTGCAAAGAAGGAGATGCTTTTTAGCCACCAATTTAATCTAAAGTCTACATTCAATGCTCATTTTTAGGAGGCTCTCTTATATAAGCTTGAGTACTTTTTTACAACAGCGACTAATGATCAAAATATAATATATCATGCAATAAAATATGTAATTCATTTTTTAATGAAAACTTTGTTGTTAGTTTGTTTGAAGGATTACAAATATGTCAATAAAAGTTGCGTTAAGTGAAGAAGGCTCGATGAGGCTTGGACTTTTACAATGTTATGTATCCACATGACTTGTTTACAAACTCTGTGATGTTTTTGGAGATGCTACCTCTCGATAACAAACTGGATTACCCCTAATTTTTTTTCATATATACTTTACTCAAATGGTGAGTAAGTTTTATCTTACAATTTTTATCAAAATCACAAGGGCAGATACGATGTTTCTGAAATATGAGAGAGCCTCCTTAAGTTAGGTATATCAGAACACACTCGAGCACCACAGTCAATCCTGTCCTGCAGCAGCAGTGACCCGCCTGCGACCAGTCCACTGAGGCACCTAGTTTGACAACCTATACAAAAATCTCTATTCTCCACCTAAATTTTTATACTATGTGAAAGTATAGAACATTTCTGATCTCATGCAACCAACCCCATGAAAACTGATCATGGCGAAGTATGTTTTTAAGGAGACAGAATGCGTTCAGCAGTAACAGCTTTCTGGCTGAAATGACACATTTGCCAGCAAAAAGCTTTTTATAAGCTGTGATGTTTTCTTAAATTTTACAGTTAAATTCAAATTTTCAAAAGTATCACATTCTATAAAAGAAGACCTTTCAGGTGATATAACTTGTGTTTGTATCTGGCACATTCTGATTTTCTCTGATGTACCATGTACCTTTTTAAGTTGGGTACCAAATTAAACNCTGTGTTTTTCACGATAACAACCTTTGTCACCCAGTCACTGTAACTGGTGAATGTTTGCAACAAATTGGCAGTATCAAATGACCAGAGTTTGACTGTGTTATCTGCTGAGCCAGTTACTAGAATGTTTAAGTCTGTGTTAAAATCGATGGTGAATACAGCTGCTACATGACCCTGATATTGCCGTAGCTTTTTGCCTGTGTCTACCTCCCAACAGGCAGCTGTGCTATCAAAAGAGCCAGTAACAAGATAATGGTCATCAAATTTCAGGTCTGCCACTGTGTGAGTATCAAAAACCTTTAGGCACTGTCCATCTTTACAATCCCATAACCTGACTGTGTGGTCATCAGAACCTAAATAAAGAAAAATAATTACATTTATTATAATATTAAATAATTATAATGACGACATTGTGGATGCTATACTTAATAACATACCAATATGTGAATAGCAGGTGAAAAATAGGTGTACAGTTTAACTTTTAACTGACAATTGTGTGTTTCTACACAGCTGAAGGAACATTGCCTGTGGCTTTATCTTCTGTATTTATAATGAAACCCACTCATTCATTTCTACATTGCATTAATTTTTAAAGATCTTTCTCATTCCTAAAGAAAACCATAAAAATGAACTCATACCTGTAGCCAACTTTCCTTCCCTGTAGAAAATAGCCATGATTCTGTCTGTGTGCCCATAAAGAACTCGGCTCTCAAAGGCACTGCCATTCTTCATCTTCTGCAAACGTGCAGATACAGTCAAAAAGAGTTCTTTGTAATACTGCCCACTTTGGTCCTCCTTTGTGCATTTCACACCTATGCTTTGACATGCTCTTCTCCAAACATCACCACAGCTATTGATAACTCTATTCCACTGCTTGTTCACCATGCAACATGTCAACAAACTTGCAGGATCCAGAAAGCTTATCAAATGAAAAGACACCTCTGTTGGCAACTGAAGAAAGTCCCTTTTTACCAAATCATCAAGTTTCTGTGAAAGGTGGTACAACTGAGAAGGTGTACTTATAGTTATCAAATGATCTAAAACTTTGTTCCTCTCTTCATCCGATAAAAGAGAATAAGACTGTCCTGCTTTTTCCAACCAAGAATCAAAGTTGGCAATAGTCCCAGTCTTGGTCTTCATGGTGTTATCCATCCTCAGTCCATTTTCTAGACAAAAATAAATCAAAGTAGTGGGTGTACAGAAATATGTTCAAGATTTGCAAAGAAGGAGATGCTTTTTAGCCACCAATTTAATCGAAAGTCTACATTCAATGCTCATTTTTAGGAGGCTCTCTTATATAAACTTGAGTACTTTTTTACGACAGCGACTAATGATCAAAATATAATATGTCATGCAATAAAATATGTAATTCATTCTTTAATGAAAGCTTTGTTGTTAGTTTGTTTGAAGCATTACAAATATGTCAATAAAAGTTGTGTTAAGTGAAGAAGGCTTGATGAGGCTTGGACTTTTACAATGTTATGTATCCACATGACTTGTTTACAAACTCTGTGATGTTTTTGGAGATGCTACCTCTCGATAACAAACTGGATTACCCCTAATTTTTTTTCATATATACTTTACTCAAATGGTGAGTAAGTTTTATCTTACAATTTTTATCAAAATCACAAGGGCAGATACGATGTTTCTGAAATATGAGAGAGCCTCCTTAAGTTAGGTATATCAGAACACACTCGAGCACCACAGTCAATCCTGTCCTGCAGCAGCAGTGACCCGCCTGCGACCAGTCCACTGAGGCACCTAGTTTGACAACCTATACAAAAATCTCTATTCTCCACCTAAATTTTTATACTATGTGAAAGTATAGAACATTTCTGATCTCATGCAATCAACGCCATGAAAACTGATCATGGCGAAGTATGTTTTTAAGGAGACAGAATGCGTTCAGCAGTAACAGCTTTCTGGCTGAAATGACACATTTGCCAGCAAAAAGCTTTTTATAAGCTGTGATGTTTTCTTAAATTTTACAGTTAAATTCAAATTTTCAAAAGTATCACATTCTATAAAAGAAGACCTTTCAGGTGATATAACTTGTGTTTGTATCTGGCACATTCTGATTTTCTCTGATGTACCATGTACCTTTTTAAGTTGGGTACCAAATTAAATAACCATTGCCTTAAGTAATGTCATACTTATTACCGAAATCAAGGTATTTACCGAAATCAATTCTTCAATTACCGGAATCAACAACAAAACGTATTTTTGTTGCTTCCTTAATTCCGGTTATTGGTATGGCCCCCTTCTATGTTCATCAGTTGACTAGTTGTGGACGGTGGCGGTTCCGCAATTTGGACTTGGATTAAACGGGCTGTATTTTCGTAAATAGAAGATAAGTGACAGAACACCTATGTATTTACTAAAAGGCACTTACCAAAATACTAATGCAATATATTTCCAAACACAAGAAACAAGAATTTATCTTTAGCAGCTTCCCCGCTTTGTACCCATGATGACTGCAACATATCCATGTACAAAGCTATTTTCACCACCTATAATTAGTTTGGTATATATCGAGATTTAAAATTGACTCATATAAATAAAACTGAACTAAACTATACTAAATAAAAATTAACAGTTGATTTTTATGATTATTTAAGAGAAAATGATGTAAAAAAAGTAAGCTACCATACATTTTGGATAATTTATGGGAAACTATTATCAATAAGAAATACCAATGGTGAGGAGACCATTTTGCCAATCACTAAATTAAAATCGGTCAACTTTTCTGTCAACGGTAAGTCCAAGTTTCTTAACGATTAAAGATGATTTTAAATATGTTTACTAAGTGCACGCAATGTTCATCCAGGCATTTTGATATGTAGTGCTTTATCGCTGGAGTAAGGAAAATGCATCTGGACTCCACAATTCCTGCTTTCTTTGATACTTACCCTGCCCAAACCTTCTTTCCGGTATATAACCGGAGTGGGGAACTAATCACTTTCACAATTACCGTCTTAGTTTGCCTCAAGTTTTCGGCGTTACAAGCTCACGGTACCGAAAACTGAGGCAACGTCTTAGTAATGCCTATTACCCATAGTACTTAACGATCAACAACTTCAGCAAAAACTTATTGTTGAAAGGAAATTGGTATATAATATCACAGTGATTAACATGAAAATTTATCCAAGTTGAAAGTGAAACTGCAAACCGTGAATGAATAAGCTAAACCAATAATAACATTTATATTCTCCGTACTTAAACTAATGTATTTATTTTAGTGGGAGACGTGGGAGTCATGCTTCAAGTTATTCTCAACCACCTTGTTTTTTGCAATTATATTGGCTTTTGCAGGTACTGGAGTGTGGAATAACCTGTGTAACCTCAGACAATGGGTAGGTGTAGTAACTTAATATACTTCTGTTAAAATATGTTCTATTTGATTCCTTGCGTTCATGCTTATGGCAGTTTTGCCTTTACAAAAGCTCGCACTCTTAGTTATGTCCTAAACGACAGCCTTACTTTATAGTAATATCCTGTTTTTACTCTTAACGTTATTCAGAATAATCAACATAAAACACTAGATCCTAGTTATGTTTTTGTATGTGTTTGATTGTAGGGAAGCACCACGTTATAAGATATGAGAAAATTAGAAAGGATTACTGTTAACTGATCAATCAGTCAATCTGATTATATATATTAATTTGCCATTGACTTGATTTATAGGTAAAGATAGTGTTTTCCACTGTTGTGGAGAATGCAGTGGACTCTTTGGTTCAAAAAGGGTCCTGTTGGACCACAAGCTCTCATGTACAGGAAAGCCGCTCCACTCTGGCTGTGTAATGGTTGCCGTGGAGCGAATTGATTACAAGAAATATAAACATTATGTGGAGGTGTATGGGAATATAGACCCAGCCCAGATTCCACCAGAACCAATTTCAGTGGACCCTGAACAGTTCACAGTTTCCAGTATAAAACTAGATGAAGACATTAAAGTAGTACTAATTGATCCTTTCAAAGGGAATTTAAAAAATACAACAGCTAAAAGGGCACCTTTTCCATCACAAAATATGTCTGATACACAAAGGGAGACCATGTCTGCCATAGAAAGCATTGTTTCGGATGAAGCAAATGCTTCATTTGACATCTTTTCCAGTGCACAATCAGTTGTGCAAACTAACGTTGATGACAGTACAAGTGGGCAAAGAACACAGCAAGCTAGTCTTAGTCCTAAGAACATTGGTGATGGTATTATAGGTGAGGATGACACTCTTACTAATGTCAATGATGGTCAGTGTTTTATAGAAAATGATGAAGATGACGATGATGATGTTGGCAAGGGTGATGGTAATAAGAAAACACATTCAGAGATTCTTGACAGGGGACAGGTTGAATCAGGGAATGAAAAAAATGTTACATCTGAGATGAATGCTAAAACATCTGACAATGGTCAAAACGTTGAAGACAAGACACCTGATTCTGTATTTAGGTCTAAGCGGCAGAGAGCAAGGCAAAAGGGGAGTAAAAAGAAGAAAACAAAAACTAGAGAAGAAAAGGATGAGCAAGCAGGAAATAATGATAAAGAAATTGATCCAGAAAACCAGTCTTGGGGAGCAAAGGAACTTGCAAAGTACATTGCCAAAGCCAAGGAAATGGACAAATTGAGTGACATTGAATTAATGGAAAAATATGGCAGCAAAAGTGAAGGCAACAAAGACCTTCCACAGTGTGACCATCTGAAGTGTGACCTATGTGATTATACATCTGCCAAAAAGGGACATTTTTTGCGTCATCTAAGAAGCCACCTTACTTTCAGCTGTGATTTGTGTGAATATCAAACATGTAAACTGAGAGAAGTCAAACTTCACATAGCCAGGCATGAAAAGCCGCACATGTGTGAATTCTGTCCTTATAAAGCAGGGAACCTGAGAGACTTGGAAAGACACAGGTGGATACACACAGGTACATTGATTATGATTATAATATATATTAAGCAGAAGTTATTAGCAAGTTGAGGAAATGTGTAGTACTTATAAGTATAATTTAATGAAATTGGTTTTGATTTATATTTTTATGATACAGGATAATGTCAAGTGTCTTTGAATCTTATAGGATTATTGCTTGCATGCAGCATTGTTATAATTAAATTGTGTTGTACAGAAAATTGACAGCTTGATTGTTCTAAGGTAATTTAAGTTTCAAATGTGCTGAAGCAACCATAAATTTAGCAAGTTCTATTGTTTTATTTTTAGACGAGACTCCATACCATTGTGAGCAGTGTGGGTATAAGTGCAGACAGTTAAGAATGCTGAGGGAGCACAATAGAAAGCACACAGGTACTAGTAATGGTCAGATCTGAAGTACAGAACTGTAGGGTATGACATGTAAAATTCATTTCATTTGAGGAAATTTAAAAAATGTTTTGTATTCTTTTGGCTTGTTGTAACAAAAACGGTACAAAAGCTAGTGAAGAAGTAAGAACTTATGTATTTATCAGTTAAAGTTATCATATTTGAAATATTTTTTGAGAAGTTAATCCATTCCTGATTCCCAGGAATATTTTTAAGAATCGAGGGTTACTGTTGTGAATACTTGTTGTAAATATGCATTTTATTTCCTTATGAACATTTTGTAGAAAATAAAGTGAACAATTTCACATTTGTAGGGGAATATTTAATCTGTGATTTTGAAGGATGTACATTCTCCACACCATACAGTGCCGCCATGCTGAGTCACAAACAACGCCACACAGATGACAAACAGTTTGCTTGTACTGAGTGTCTGTACAGGACAAGTGACCGGTCTTCTTTTCAAAAACATATAAAAATACACCAGAATAAAAAGGACTACAAATGCACACAATGCTCTTACAGGGCTGTGACAAAGAGCAGCGTGTCGAAGCATTATCAGGCTGTTCATGAAAAAATGAAGTTGTACCAGTGTGATCAATGTAACTATGGATCCACAACTTCAAGTGCACTACGCATGCATCTGATGTCCCATATGAATATGAAACCATTTATGTGTTCTTTGTGTTCATATCGAAGCATCTCTAAAGGGAAGATTCAACGACATTTAACAACAACACATAAAGACCAAGTTGGCATTGTCATCTTTGATTCCACGATAAAATTAGATGAAGGGATGGGGAAATACAGAATTCCAGGAACTGAAAGAAGGAGAGTTGAGGTGGAGCGAGATTTTTCTGAGGTAGCACCAGAACTGTGTAAAAAAGTAGATCAGGGTTCTGCTCAGCAATCTCCAGTGATCCAGGTTCAAAACGGTGAGAATGTCATTGAATATGTGTGTGGAAACTGTCAAACATCATTTGATTCTGTCGAGTCATTCACTGAGCACGTGTGCCCAGGACTTGCTGGGCAGATTGAGGGTTTGATGCCTGTGCCAGATGCAGACGAAGCAGTCTTGGTCGGCACCATTCTTTCTCTTGGGGATGTAAAATATTTACCTCAAAAGTAAATCATGGTAATGCATGAGAAGTCTTAAAAACTTTCTAAATGTCCTGTGGACATTGAGGCCAATAATATATACGTACAATAATGTACAAATTAAACTTTTTGTGGCCTTTCACATGTCTTCTGTGGAAAAACTTGAAAAATTTATTTCCCTTTGAAGCACTAGGGATGTAAGTAAGTCCATCAGGGTGACAAGTTTCCAGAAATTAATTCGACTAAAACAAGTTTTCAGTTATTATGTTACGCCACAGACATATATTGAGCACATTTTCAGATGTCAGAAAATATTTTTGTGTCCTTCTCTTTTTTCAAGTGAATTTTCAAGTTGCTGTCACCATCCACTGACGTTTGTTTGAGAAGGTACACATTTGCTGTTTGTTAGTTTTTTCTCTGGTTATGCATTACATATAAATCATTAGTTTTAAACCGTTATGGTTTGAAACTTGAAGATCTTTGATTATTATTTCTTCACATTTTATACTATAGGAAAAGGCAGTTCGAGTATTAATTTAATGTAGTGTGTATTTGCTTCTTGAAAGGAAAGGGTGGCATTTGTTTACATCCATGTATCATTACCATGTTTGTGCTGTTTGTCAAATAATAAAAGGATTCACAACAAATGAAGGTCATTTTGATCTTTGATTCTTTCCAGCTGCATTTATTTAGTGAAGGTGACAATGTTGAAGAGTTGTGATTGTGTGATAATTTTGATCAAAAATGAGAGAAAATAATAAATAATCCTTATACATTCTTGTCTACATTTGTTCATGGCTTCTACTTGGCAAGGTTATCTGAGGCTCAAAAAACAAATAATGAGTAACATAAATGCAGTGAAAAAAAAAAAAAAAAAACACAAAGTATCCAATAATGACTTCCTTTTATTCACAATATCCCAAGTGTAGAAAAGTAGAAAATATAAATGGATAATTATGTGGATATGCACCTTCCAGCAGAAGCAATATCTGCATTACAACATGTGAATTGCACCATGTTCACAAATGCATCAAAATATTGGGGTATGTTTTACTTCCATCACCTTTTTGTAAAATAATATAGCACAGACTAACATATTAAAATGGTTCCAGTTCTAAAACAGTACAGGTTTGAGAAGAAAAACCGAAGGGATATAACTATGTACACCAACCATAAAGCATGTTTTGGGGGGATGTTTTTCTTACCTGCAAATACGAATATAAAGTCATAATTGCATGTATATCCTCGATTTGTGATAGTATGGTTTGATGCACTGAAATCTGATGTTGTTTTGATTACAGTAAAAGCTATGATCTTTGTTACAATACAGTTGAGTGGGGATTCAAATATATCTTTTTTATGAATAACTTATTTTCTCGTGTGGCTTGTTTAATTATACAAAGGACAGAATGCTAGACACTAAAACCATGTCACTGTCTAAGTTGCTCTGTGACAAGCAAAATTCATGGTAAGAGAAGTGGAGCAATCCAGCAGCATTGATAAATAAATAAATGCAACAAAAGTAAAGAAAAGTAGATAGGTGTCAAGGCTCAGTCAATCATAGGCAGCATATGAGGGTTAACAGAGCAGTGAGATTTTACCATTGCCCTTTTCCTGAAAGACACGTCAAAGCAAGCAGCAACTGAGAGATCAATATCCACAAATGGTACAGGGATGGACATTCCCTCCTTTCTCCCTTGAACACCAACCCTGCCTACCACTATCCCCTGTTCAATAACAACAACAGCTGCTTTATCGATGCTGGGGATCATCCTGAAACCAGTCAGGGCAACGAATGTTTCCAAAAATCAATCAAGGACCAGTGGACTTGAGCCTTACTTTTCATATCACCAGATTGCCTTTACCAGCACCAATATTGCCTCTCTCAAGTCAAAAGACTTGCCAAACAATTATATATATATATATATATATATATATATATATATATATATATATATATATATATATATATGTTCCCAACTTAACTGTGAAAATAGCAAAGAGCTAATAAAAAAAAAAAAAGAAAAAAAAATAGTGCAATACATTAGACTGATTAGGAAGTCAGGCAAACATAAACTGGTAATAAATCAGATTGTAAACGATGACAAGATCAGACAGACTATGGTATTCAGCATTTAAGGCACAAATCAAGCAAACCTGTGATCACAACAACAGATTTCAGTGCAGTAAACAATGTAAAAGATAATACTATCACAGTACTTTCACCTCAACTTTAGAAGAAATATTAAATCAAGGATTGTAATTCTGTTGCTTAAAACTAGGACCCAGCAAACAAAAGGAAAAGGTCCATGGCAAAAAATCAATGTAATTGGTACAGCCTGCAAACTGCAGAAGTTTGCAAGTTTTTAAGACTAGCTGTTGCCATTGAGGCTTTCAAGTAAAATAAATCATGTTTTTAGATTAGTAATTACACAGAAAACTTATATACAGAAGGGACAACTAACAGGATATTTGGATACTTGGATATTAATTTTTTGAATGTTTTGCAGTAGGTTTTAATGTAATAATATGCATTCATACCTTCAATGCATTTTAATTTGCCATGTGGTGGTGAATGATGTGTTTGGAGACTGTTATCCAAGGTATAATGCAATTAGTATTAGATTCCCTTATACATTGGTTTAACGTTAATGTTGAGAAGGCAATCAGGTATGATCACTTGTGGAGAGCATAATTTAAAACAGGTTCATTTTTTTATGAAAATGTCATAGGTAAATCAGGCAATAGACAAGAGGGGAATGATGCTATGGATTATTGGTAAGCAAAGCATAACACAGAACTGAATGTATGTTGAGCTGGCTTTTTCATACAGTCTGACTGAGCAATTAATCGTGTTCATTTATGGAGCATTAAGTTAGTTATTGGTTAAATTTTTACGAAAATTTTATCAATAAGTGGGCGATAAAACAGACAGAACTGATCCTTATTAGTACACTAATTTAACAGTGTTACACAAATTACGTATTTGCATAATGTACTGACACTATACAAAATCTGGTTGAATAAGCAGTTGAGATTTTCTATGCAGAATTTAGTTACTAGTTGGAAAGCAAATGAGACCATAAGCACATATTTAAAGAAAAAATTTGCACATTTAGAGGAAAAACAATTTGGTGGAACTGCTTGATGAAAACTTAACAACATGGAGAAATCATGTGAATCAAACAGAAAATAGGTTATTCACAGTTATGATTATAATCAAACGATGCAATCAAAACAGCTAAAGCAGAACAAAAGGCCTAGTCAAAGGAAGAATACCTCTTTCCTGTTTTTTGGTGGGTTCTAGCTTAAAATAAACATAAGATACCTTTGATGAATTACAAAAAGTTATCTGAAAGTTGAAATGATATCTACTACAAAAAAAATCCCACAAACTGTCCCTTAAAACATGTCTTTATTTTGCTCATCTGTTTAAAAGACAACTGACTGCATTTTGTACAGCACCCATATTGCAAATATCTGGTCAAAGAGTTCCATCCCTAAGCAAAATAAATATCTGGCATTATTTAAAACAACATGATACAAATACAGAAAGATGTTCCCATTTTCTTACAAATAAGTATAGATAAAGAAAACCCACTGAAGGGCCTTCTTATATGTTGCTGTGCTTGAACAAGTTTAGTAAAACTGCAGCATGAGTACAATAGATAACAACTAAAGCCCTTTTCTCATCGAGCACTCCAGTTTTCTTTATCAGTTTAAGAGAATGACAAGTTAATAGCCTGGCTATTAGTATTACATAAGAGAGTCACCTAAAGTAGCCCTCATACTCAACACAGACCAGTTTACTAGAAAAATTTTGATTTGTAGATTAGCCTGGGTGAAAGTAGCAAAAACTAAAAATCGTGAAAATGTAGCTTGCAATTTCTCGACTCCCTAAGACCATATGCAAAAAAAAAAAAAAAAAAAAAAAAAAAAAATCAGAGCTACCAAATTGGCGGAAGTGAACTTGTGAAATTTACCACTTGATGTGAAAAGGACTTAAGAAGATAGTAACCATCTGAATACACTAATGAGTTCCTGAATGGATAAAGTATTACACAATTATTTCACATTCAAGTTAACACAAAGACAAATGTAATCATATTGTCATTAGTGCCACCATTCAACCTGTATTTATCTTCTTTTTATTTTAATTTATTTTTCTCAATTAATACTTATTTATATATATAGCAGAAAAAAATAACATATTTAATGGAACTGCTTTAAAGTTTTGATTTTGGTAATTGTGTTGAATAAGATAACTTCAGAAATTCAGTCTTAACACAGTAAACATTGTATCAGTAGAAAACTGAATAATCAAGTACCTTACGTATTAAGTAGAATGTGGCATCCCTTGCATGATAAGCCACTTAAAATAATTGACTACCTTGCATCTTCCTGTTAACATTATATAAAAATACCAAGTAAAATTACAGTCTGTAATAATTGAATAATTGAATATCCATGCATGATGCTAACACACAACCTTTAAAACCCCATCTGCAATTTCAGTTGCTTCATTTGTTTCAATTATAATGAGATGCACATATAAAACAAGGTCTTCTAACCATATTTAAAAACAATGTAATAATTTGTGCATAACGAGTTATGATTTGACCTTGAACCCAAAGTTGTTATGGCTGGTTATAGCAACATTACAGTTCTCTGGTCCAATTTAGACAGCTTGGTTTTCTGTATAACATTTAAAAAAAAAATGAATTGCTATTTCAAGTATATTGGACATAACAGCAACAATTGGCATATTGATCATGCAATAAATAAATGAAAAATAATGACAACTTCAAATCCTATAATTTACTGATGATAATGCTTCAAGAATAATAGGCATCCATTATTAAATGCTCAAGAATAACTGCTTTTCATTTAATGAATTCAAAATAAAGTTTATTATATGAAATAACAATCATCAGAATATATTGCAGTATAAACCAAGTGTTTTGTTATGAACTCCTTTTTTGAGCATGCATATTTATTTGAGCTTTTCCCTCTCTAAAAAGAGAATGACATTGACACCATTTGTAAGGACAACCTATTTAAAATTGCCTCAAGTTTTGTTTAAACAGGCTATGTTATCGACAATTTATTTCATCTTATTGCAGCATCTGATGGATTTTTTGCTCTAAATTGTTGATAGTATAATAAACTGCTCATTTTCATTAATAAAAACATTTTTCATCATGATGCCCTAGCAAACATTTCCATTTTTGTTCCAACATAACAACACAGCCTGACAAAAACCACTTGTTAAGCATCAATTAAAAAGTGTGACACTATGATGATGATGATGTGAAAGTGTGAATAAACTTGAACAATGATGCCTTTCTTCCAGCTTTTCACATGTATTTCCTATACATAATGTATTGCAGTGCTCTACTTCATGGAAAGACTTATGCATCCTCCAATAAATGCCAACTCATATATTGCAGGTAAACAAAATGCCACAGGCCTGAGAACCCTGTTTTATTTTGTCTGTTTCCTTTTTCCTTTTTTTTGGACAGGGAGAGGGATGCTCCTCATGCACTGTACCAGGTCAGATTTTCACTCTTCCTTTAAACCTTTATTCTACACTGGGATTTTGCACTCGTCAGCAGGACAGGCACAGCTTTCCTCCAAATGATACAACCCCATTTCATATGGAAAGTGTCATTAAAGATTACCTAAATAGTGCTGCTTATGCTTGGTCAGCATATCTGTCACAGTCACAAGTCTTTTTAATGAGTGCTGAAACAGAAGTAAAATGCGTAATATGCATTAATGGGATGATAAAAAACCTAACTCATTTTCGGCAATTAAAAAGGTACAATGCAGCAAAAGACACAAAGGGGCCATTCAGAATAGATGATCCAAGTACCAACTGATCCACCGACTAAATATGACCAAGCCCACTTCAAAAGTGATGCTGCTAATTCCATGATGGTCTCCCTGCCTCCACTCGCGCCATTGCTGCAGGGGTCTAGCCAATAAACCTCGGAGCCCAGATTTAATCTGTTTAATGGCACATGTGGAGCCAGGTAGACCATTGGAAATCAGCAGCATTGCTTTTGAAGTGGGGTCAGCCTTATTTAGTTGGCAGATCAGTTAGTACTCGGATCATCTATTCTGAATGGCCCCAAAGATAAAGGTACATGAGACACAAAGATAAACTGTGAATGGTTATCAAATACATTCATCTCCAAAATGGTTGATGTTTAGTTTTATAAACAGGTTTATGACATAAAATTTCTAATTTCAACCATCACAAGTTAAATTTACAAGTTTCCACTATCAGACTGCCTAAAAAAATTAGAAGTTTCGAAAATAAATTAAATATAGAATATGGAGTATTTATAGATTAGGTCAATGGTTTCTGAATACATTTGGTAACTGAAAGAAAAGCATTGAAATTTCCAGAAAAATTGCTATAAAAAGGTCTAGGGGTCTTTGAATACTGTTCAAAGTGGCCTACCTGTTTCTTCTGGTTCCTCTGATCCCCCTGTGCTGCCTGTGCCTGGTCTAATGCCTGAAGCTCCTGAGCATGGGAAGTGCATATCTGGTGCACATTAGCCAAGTCCCTTCCAATGTCTGCCACTTGGTAGTCACCCACTACAGGGTACTCTGGGATATTCTGATATTTAGAGCAAAAATATCCAAATGCAATAGAAATAAATTGAGATTTGCATGTACATGATATGCCTCTTTCTTGTTGTGTAATTGATGAATCTAGAAAATCCTGATATTTATTGTTAAAATATATCAAAAAAATATATTTTGAAATATCATCACACAAACATTGAGAGTACACAATTATGCAGAAAAGACTTTGCTGTATGAATGATGTATCTGGAATATCCTGAAACCTAATGCAAATTTACTCCAACAAAATTCAAAGATAACTAGAGAGACTTAGGAATAAGTTATTTTTCCTATTATTGTGGTTTGAATAGCAAACTCAAAGGTTGCAGTTTTCAGAACAGGGTCATAACAATTATTTACTTTTGCTACCTTAACGGGTTATGTCAAAACCCACATGATAAACATGTTATGTCCTCATTCTACATTTAAAGGTCACCCCCTGTGCTGTTTCAACTTTACTTAATGGGTGAAATATTGTGAGTTATAAAATGCTTTGTAAAACCTCTTGTTCTGTTCTGACAGAGATAGTGTATTTTGCATCTTCATTAATATGCTAAACACATTTTGGCAAAAACATTTTATTGCAAAACTGCAATAGCATTTTCTTCTGTTATTACTTTAATACTTAAACATTGTATTACCTAACCAACACTTACAGACAATTCATCCAAAAACATGACCATCCTTTGTTTGTTTCCAAGGATAAAAGGATTAACTACTTCCATGAAGGGTTCCTGGGAAAACAGAAAATTTGACAGGCAACTACATTATTTAAAAAAAAAACATTATAATATTTTTAAAAAGTGCCATTTTATGTAAGCATGTACAGAGTGCACTTAAACTTCAGCAAATGCAATTGTTAAAATTTTCTTTTTACTATATTGCTTGATGGAATAAAATACTCTTAGACTAACACCTTGTTTTATAATCTTCAGAAAAATTATCCAAAATCACTAATGCGTCTAAAGGTTTCTTATTGTCGTGTTACCTTTGCACCAAATTCCACTAAATTTGCTAGATTCTGCAGGGACTTTGCCACCAGTTTTAAACTTCTAGCTGCCACTTCTGAAGGAGTTTCTTCATGATGAAAAATAAAACATATGGCCCAAGTCAAACTTTTTCTTAACACCATTTTCTCTACATAAGATCTGTCATTTTCAATAGAAATGGTTTTTACTCCTGTAACCCTTTAACCATAGAAAGACAATGTGTTAGTGGGCGGAAAAGAACAAAGAATTAAATAATCTTTTTTTTTTTAAGAAAGAAATCCCACCTGACATAACATATTTTAAAAATTCACTGGCCAAGTCTTTTCTCAACAAAATAGACATACAAATAAATGGTTTTAATTCTAGCTCCTAAAACACTGAGTGATATGTCAAGGGTACAAGCTTGGCCAATGAAACAATTATCTTTTAAGGAAATCCTACCTGTTATAATGTTAAAACACTTGGGATTAAGTAATGCTGGACACAACAACCTCAGGAAAATGAACCCGCTAGAAACAAATTCAACTTCATTTAAACAACATATCTTGCACTGGGAAGAGGGACATTTACTTTTGTCAAAAAAATTGCAGGTTTATGATTTATAAATATCACAGGGTTTCAATTTACAATGCTGAAAACAATGAACAAGTTCTGTTATTGATTCACTGCTTTAGTGTCCAGTTCCATTTCAAAGCAAGATACACTGATGTAAATTTATGAATACTTTCTTTATTGATAAAATAATAACATCCTTTTTACAAAGCAACAAAATGTATTCTAAACCTATTTTATCATAATACAATTTAGTTGGATAAGTTGCCTACCTAACTACTCTTGTCTTAACTGTTTCATCTTCTGGCCATTTGGAAATTACTTTTTTCTGCAAGCATCCACAGATATATCGAAGCACCCTAGAAGAACATTTCAAGTATTTGCAATTGGCTGCATCTTACTAGTTTTTTTTATACAAATAATGCAAACAAATTTCTTTTTACTGTTTGGTGCATAGCTTTCTTTTAATTGCTTACATCATATCAGAATGATCAACATTTGAACACAGACAGAGCAGTGAATGAAAATGGAGAATCAGAGAGGCATAGCTGCCTCGTAAGTATGTACCACTGCTATGGTAAGTAGATTACTGTGATATAAAGGCATTTTCAGAGCAACAACAAATTGATTATTTGCAGTAACTGTTAATCATAAACAGGTGTAAATCCAAGCCACCTTTAGCTCTACACTGACGGTACAACAGGTGCATCAGTAAAAATGACTATTTCTATGCAAAAAGGACTATTTCTATGTTACTTACAAAGGACACTTGTCTGTTGACATGAAAATATTTCGAACAACATCTTTAAGCACAGATAAGAGGTGTTCTTTATTGGCAGTAGCATCTGTTGGGTTGTCAAGAAGGGTTGGATTGAGCTGAAACATAGAAGGAATTCCCTTAGTATATAGCACTAAGAATCACTCTCGTATGTTTAAGAACAATGAAAATATTGTTATTCTATTATTGTATTAAATATGGAAATCCACAAAAAACTGAAAAATATTATAGTAAAAAGAGTTTTCCTTTGAACATATAAATGTGGAAAGGGAATGTTGCCATCAATGACAAATTCAGGTGACTGTTATACATCCAAATGCAAAGTGTCTGTCAATAAAAATCTTTCAATAATGTTACAAGTATATCATTTCTCTGATATACAAGAAAGTATCAAAAACACCAGGTATCAAAATTCAACAAGAAGCTATCGGGTCATTATTGATAGTCTTTTTATACCTCACAAGATTGCCTTGACTCTATAATTTTCATAACAGATGATTTAGCAGCATGATGCACAAAGTCTGTAGCAACCATCTTCATATACTGATCCATCAGCGTGGTAGCAAAGGAAGTTGCACGGAACAAATTTGATACAGTACCTGTAAAACAAAAGAATCAAAAATAAGGCTCTTAAAAAAATAAGGCGGAAGTCAAGTGAGAATGTCCAAACCTTAACCCCACAGGGACTGTACAATGCTGACCTAAAAGCCTCCTCTGGGCCCAATTTATGTGCACAGGTACAAGTTTTTGGCCCTAGATTATTTATTTGCAAACATAACCAACACAAATTAAACATTTTTAGCAAGCCAAAACTTCAGGCTAAATGAAGATGACTTCATAAATGTGAAGTCATATAAGTAATTAGAATTAAGGAGTTTTAAAATTGAATTCTTATTTGAAAGCTACAGGGGAATATCAAAAACTGCATGTTACAATGCACAAATATTGTTCATAATGATGTTACATAAGTGCACTTTACACTCAGAAAAATGAAGCATGATTCTTGTTTTTGTGTTTAAGGTGTTTGGAATTTATCATAATTTTTTTAGGTGGTGAGAAGTCACCATTCTGTTTCTAGTTTTGAAATTTGCACCTATAAAATCATGTTTTTCTCACTCCTCTTACATTAAAAAATTCCCTTAAATAGCCAAAATGAGAGCCAAAAACATAGCTCAATGTAAATGTAAGTGATATATCCTTTGTTGTCAGTTTCAAAACTTTTATGCCACATCATATATTTGAATTTTAACTTCAGATATAACAGACATGAGCTTAGGTTTAAAAAAAAACTCTGAACATTCACTGAATCTCAGAGAAGACGAATCTAAGGATTCATCAGAATTGAATTAAAAAAACACAGAATTCTGAGTTATGTTGAAAAGCTCAGGTCGGTATTAGGAAAATGAATTTAAATCTCAGATATAAGGAAACTAAATTTAGGGCTTAGATTAAAGTTATGGTCTGTCTGGAACATTTCACTAAATTCTCTCAGTTTATTTCTTTAAGTTTTACCAGCTGTAACTTACATTCTTTATCAATTTCCCTGTCATTCATTGTGCGAATAAGATGAGACTCCTGTTTCTCTTTGCGAAAGATATTTAATAAGGATTTGGCAAGCGGAATCCTATCATTTCCACAAACTTGAGTTAATGCCTTTACAGCCTCCAAGTCCTTGGCTAACAGAAGCTGGAACATAGGGAATGTATTTATGTTGAACTTCACACTTTATTCTATGCATTAACTGATATTAACAATACTCAACTTTTTAATATACACAAATCAATTTCTTTTATTCTCAGGAGAAGGAACTTGTGTGAATAATTTACCGTAACACTCATTCTTCATTAATACAACATTTTTTTAATTAATGGCTAAAGATTGAGTCAGTATTAAACAAGCCTGGGACTGATTTCGCAA